TACATTTTTATTTTTATTTTTATTTTTTTTAATTTAAACTCCGTTCTTTAATTCATAACAATCTTAGCCATCTGTTTGGTTCGGTGTATTAAACTAACAAAAAAAAGTCATTTAGTCTTGTTATCCATGGTTTAATGGTTAATTTGGTCCATTCATTCATTTTTCACCTTTTTTCCCCGAGTAATTCTACTTACACCGCACTTCTAACTCTTTACATTCTTTAATTTAATTTAATTTTTATTAAATAAATAATTCATGCATAAATCTAATAAATCATTAAAATAGGTAATAAGAGCAACCTCATCAAACTCGACAGACAGCTTCTCCAGCTAAACTAGCGAGATGAACTCCAAAAAACCAGGCGCATCAATCTCGCTACAAGCGCGCCAAAATTTGAGGATGTTACAGTAGCTTGTTACAACAAACGAGCTACTGTTCATCGTTATTCATTTTTTTATTATTTTTTTTCCCGCCAAACCCTACCCTCTTCCTCTTCCGCGCCAAAACTACATAGCAGCAACCACTCCACAGCATTTGCTTTCACCATATCTGAAACTTAGGTTCTCTCTCTCTCTCTCTCTCTCTCTCTCTCTCTCTCTTTGTGCTGCTGTACTCTAGATTTGGATTAGATTGGATGAATTGGGGTCTATAATTTTATTTGAGAACCATCAATGGCTCTTTGATTGAATTAAGTTGTTTAAACATCTTTGAAAATTTGTATGCACAAAATTCTTGTATCACAAGTGTTTGATAAATTGCCTCAATGAAAGTGAATGCATATATATGTTGACATTTTAAAGCTTAGATTACTTGTATATTTTTAAAATCTTTAAAACTGGGTAAAGGAAATTTCTATCATACTGAGAAAGAACATATATAGTTTGTGATCTTTATGGTTTTTTTTGATACACATTGTATATAACTATGATATAATTTTAAGATTTTTGTTAAGTAATTAGTGCATAAAATTAATTTGCCCCATTGTCTACCACTATTTAGTTAAAAGTGATCAAATGTGAAATGTATTGTTGATTGTTCATGTCATTGAATATAACTCTCAGAGAGAGGACAGATAAAGGCGAATTACTATGAGAACAAGTAGAAAAAATAAAGGGGAAATGTGTTCAAGTTAGACAACAAAGAAATTGAAAAAGGTGTTTTCCTATAATATAACCGAAAATCTGCTTTCTTCCTTTTATTTCAAGAACATGCATGACAGAATCAACTCTAGAGCATTTTATAAGTATGTGGTCAATATATGAGCACATTTTTCCACCTGAGAGATGTCATGGATACTGTACCCACTGTCTACTAATATCCTCCCAAGTAAGACATTCATTGTCCAGGCCATAGTAAAAGCAGAATAATATCACTCTCATGTTCTATTAGTTGTACTAATTAGTTTGTTTACCTCATCCTGCAAAATGAATTACTGGTGTTAATTTTCCTCACTTGTTTTCTAATGGATGCTTTGCTGCTATGGTGTGGAGTATTACTGATTTCCTGCACAATCTAGAGGGCATTTTTTGGCTTGCTGGGAGTTGGCTGTGTTGGTGCCTTACCAACACTTTTTTTCCAACCTTGTTTGTAGTTTTTGCTAGCATTTGACTGGGTAGTTTCTTTCATATTAACTCTGTTGGGATGTTAGCTTAGCTACATATGATGCTTCCTTATATTAAGCTTTTGTTATGTAATTTTGTCTGCATAATAAAATCTTCCGTTTGCCTTTCAAAAAAGAAAAAAATTCAAATTTTAGTAAACAATCATCAAAACACTCCTCCAAGCTCAACCCTTTACTCAAACTTATATCAACTTTAGTTTTACTCAAAGGGAGACTGAAATTTTTCACTCAAATTCATATCAAATTTAATTTTTGTAACAAAAAAAAACTGTTAACTCCTCTTATTTAATCCAACGAAAACTTAAAACATGTGCTCTTTTTCCCAAATTTGAGTTAAGGGTTGGAGGTGGTCTTAGTAGGCTTCATTGAATTGATTTTATTTTATACGAAAGTGCTAACTTATTGTCTTGTTGGGATGGATTCAATCTGAAATTTTTCACTCTATCTTGAGCGATGGATTCATTCTGATTTGATTCACTCTATCTTGTAGGATGGATTCAAGTGGAGACCCTTTCTTTACCAATCTTTTACAAGAGGGCTCCAACCTTGACAACCAATTCATGAAGTCTCAATATCTGAACCAAATTAGTCAAGGTGCTGGCCAAGAATCTCAGTTTTCAACCAAAAAAGAATCTGCTACGAAAAAGTCATGCAGTGGCAACTTTTCTAAAAAAGAAGACAATTTGCTTATATCAGCTTGGCTTAATACTAGCTTGGATGCAGTGCATGGAAATGAGCAAAAAAGTAAGACATTTTGGAGGAGAGTTGGGGAGTACTTCCACGAGCACAAAACATTTATTAGTGAACGTACTGATAATTCTTTGATGAACCGGTGGTTAATCATTCAACTTGGAACCAATAAGTTTTGTGGGTACTTTGCTCAAATTGAATCAATGCGTGAAAGCGGTGTGAATGAGCAAGACAAGGTATCAATTACATAGATATTTAGACATTTACCATTCAATATATTTTAAAATTTTGATATATATATATATATATTTTCTAGATTGGCAAGGCAAAACTTATGTACCAGGAGGTTCATAACACCTCATTTCCATTCGAACATTGTTGGAATGTGTTGAGGCATCAACCAAAATGGTTTGAGACGTACCAAAAGAAAAATCCAAAAAGGAGTCGAAATTCCACATCTTCACCTTCAACACCAGAGTTAGTCAATCTAGAGGAAGATGAGATCTCACGAGATACGCATATATAATTGGAGAGACCAATTGGCAAGAAGAAAGAAAAAGAAAGGCTGAAAAAATTGAAGAGCCAAGATACTACAAGTTCTCCAATTGTAGACTTGCTAATTGACGTGAAAGAAGATAGAAAGAAAGGAACTGAGAAAAAAACATGAAATGCTTGAGAAATCATATATTATTCATGTTGAAAAAGCTGAATTGGAGAAATTGAAGGAAGAAGAGAGAATCATGATGATTGATACGAGTGGGATGTCCCCAATGCAACAAGAATACTATTATCAGTGTCAAATGGAAATCATTGAGAGTCGAAGAAAGAGCAACATTTTCGAGTAATTTATGAAACTGTTATGTTTTTTGTAACTTTTGACTGTTAGTTTGGTAGATTTTGTTTGGATGAAATAGTTGGATCCTTTTGTGCTATATGGTTTCATGATGTAGAAACAGGGGTTCTTTTTTGTGACTTTTGACTAAAGTAAAATTTATGTATATTTTGTAACTTTTGCCTATATAATACATTGGCATTTTGTAAGCTTTACTTGTTGGAATTTGATGCTACAAAGATTATTCTATTTCAGAATGACACTGAGCTAAACTGTTATTTTTTGGGTTATTTTTACTGCTGTTTTGGATACTTTTGCTGCTGTTTTTGCTGTTGTTTCGAAGCTTTTTTGCTGTTGTTTCGAAGCTTTTTTGCTGCTGTTTCAGGGCTATTTTGCTGCTGTTTCGGGGCTGCTTTGCGGCTGTTTTTGTGCTGAATTTGGGGATGTTTTGTGACTGTTTTTGTGCTGAATCTGGAGCTCTTTTGTGGCTATTTTTGTGCTGAATTTGGGCTTCATTTTCACCTCCAAAAACCACAAAACAATAGGATGAATTAATATGGATAATTTATAACATTTTGATCAAATGAATTCATCAAACAAAATCAAAAACATAATATAAATAAAATCATCAAAATCAATATGTCTAACACATGACTTTCCCAAAAATCAAATTACAAGCTACAGCAGTTCAAAAAAAAAAAAAAAACTTACAAGCTACAGCAAAGGTTGTAATCATGAGAACCAACCTAGTGTTTAGGTCCATTCTCATTAATTCCAAATTGGCTATAGATTTGCCTATTCCAACCTAAGATTGGCTATAGATTTGCCACAAGTGCTCAACTAAATCTGATTAGAGTCGAGAATGAGTTTCTCTATCTCTTATGCGACGATGTTGTTGAATAAATTCCATGATATCAGGTGTACGTTCAAGTGACACTTGTGAAAGAGGGATTTTATCGATTTGTTCATAATCAATGTTTTGTTCTCCTTCGTCATCTCTTTCATCCTCAATGATCATGTTGTGTAGTATTATACAAGCCTTTATAATATCTTTAAGAGTCTGAAGATCCCATGGTCTTGCAGGTCCACGCATAATTGCAAAATGTGCTTGAAGCACTCCAAATGCACGCTCTACATCCTTTCTATACGCCTCTTGGGCCTCAGCAAAATGTTTATTCTTTTTTCCTTATGGACAAGGAATTGTTTTAACAAAAGTTGCCTATTGTGGATATATACCATTAGCAAGGTAGTATCCCATGGTATATTCGTTTCCATTAATGGTGTAATTAACTCGAGGAGCACGCCCTTGAGCAAGCTCGGTAAATACGGAAGACCGTTCTAAAACATTGATATCATTATTAGACCCAGGTAACCCAAAAAATGCATGCCATATCCAAAGATCATATGATGCTACTGCTTCCAAAATAATTGTTGGCTCATGTGCATGGCAGTACACATACCTTTCCATGCAGTTGGGCAATTCTTCCAGGTCCAGTGCATACAATCAATGCTCCCTAACATCCTAGGAAAACCGTGACTTTCGCCAACAGCTAAAAGACTAGCAATGTCGTCGTTGTTTGGTGACCTCAAGTACTCATCAGAAAAAATTGCAACCACTGCTTTGACAAATTTCTTTACGCTTTTCATTGCAGTACTTTCTCCAATCCTCAAGTATTCATCCATAAAATCAATTGCTACTCCATAAAGCAAGCATTCTAAGAGCCATAGTTATTTTTTGAAGAGAAGACAAACCGAGCACTCCAGCACCATTTCTTTTCTGAACAAAATATGGTTCATAAGCTTCTACTTCAGATTGAATGCGGAGAAAAAGAGAACAATTCATTCGAAACCTTCTCCGAAATAATTTGGGAGGATATACTGGTGGATCAGCAAAATAGTCGAGAAAATGCCTTTGATGGCCTTGCAAAGGATTACGCCAAACGAACTCGCGTCGTTTATGAGCAGCATGTCGTGACTTTGATGAACTCTCGGCTTCCATAGAAGCTATTGTAACTATCTCCAACTCATCATCGGAGTCAGAGTCATAAAGAATCATGTCTAGAAAATGAAGATCCATATATAAAAACATTAATGAGGATAGAATGAAAGAAAAATATTTCATTTAAATTGTGAGAATTAGAGAACATATGCTATTGTTTATAGTAGAAGAATATGGCCGTTTGAAAAATTTTGACCGTTGATAAATATAGCCGTTGGAATGCACAGTAGAATGATTGGAGAATATGGTCTAGTTTTGGATTTGGGGTCTTTATATTTTATCCGAAATGCACCAGTTGGCTACCGTGTTGGTGACTTTCTAATAATCTGATCCGTTCATATTTTGGTGTTGATTGAGTAGATCAACTACAAAAATTTTACACTCAATCGAAGATCAGCACGATGGATGCCCGAGCCGAACCGCAAGCCCTTGTTTTCCTCCAAGAAATGCTACTTGATCAAGCCCCTGGAAATGCTACTTGATCAAGCCAACCCATTAATTTAATAAAAAAAAGAAAGAAAAACAAATACAATAAAAAAATAATATTTTAATAGGATTGAATTAAAATAGAGAGTTTGATGAAGTGGGTACTAAAAATATGACTAGCTAAAATAGCAAAATAGCTTTTTAAGTTATAATTTGACTAAAAATTTAAAGAGATTGGTGTGGATGCTCTAATGGGCCCACATAATAGGGTAAGGTCCAATCCACTTTCGGAAGTTGGCTTGGTTAGGCGATGAATTGAGAAAGACACTTATTTCGACTTTTAAAAGGGTGATTAAATCCACACCGCACAACCTCTTATTATTAAGGGTGTATGAGGTGCGGTTCAGGCGATTTGAGAGTAAAATTATAAATTGAATGGCAGGTTAATGAATTGACAAATTGCGATTTGGATGATTTTTGACGGATTGACGGATTGAAAAATATTTTAACTAATTATCATACATTTGAATAATATATAACACTAATTTATATAATATTTTTTAGCTATATTACACAAAGTAATTTTACATAATATGTTTCATATATATAACCACTAATTTGTAATAAATTTTATATCTTAAATCTCTCTCACACTCATTTTTACATTGATATTTCATTGGAAGTTACAAAATATATATGCATTAACTATAGCGAAGCGGAGCGGTTCTGTTGGCAGACTATAAATTTTAAAGTTTAAACTGTGATTAGCGGTTAGAGAGGTGAGAATTGATGCGGATTGGTGCGGTTTTAGCGGATTGCGTAGTATTTTGCACAGCCCTACTTACTACACATTAATTTCTTAGGTCTTGTTAGACAACTTTTAATTTTAGTTAAAAAGTTATCATAAGTTATTAAATTACTCTTTCTATTTTTTTATACATCTTTTCATAAAAAATTAAAAAATTATTAAAATAACTGTTCCCAAACGAGACCTTTACATCATATATTATTTTAATCAATTAATTTTTTTTTCTTATTTCACGCCATCAATTTTTTGAAAATCCCAAAATATCTTCATCTTCTCTAAGACTCCCATATCCTATCTACCAGTTGACACCACTCCTGTCCCAGTTGCCTCGTCACCTTTTCCTTTATTATACTTATATCATGGTGAGTATGGTGATATACTATGCAAATCATAGACAAAATATGTACTTACTATATTTAACACCCTTCAACTTCCTGCTCTTCCAGTCGTCGTCGTCGTTGTCGTCATCCTCATCTCGTCTATCAACCTTGTCTAATTTTCTCTCTCTCTCTCTCTCTCTCTCTCTCGTTACATGGTATATGTTGTAATGGCGGTGGAGGGCTGTGATGGTGGCCGAAGAAGAAAGTCATCGTCGTTGTGGTAGCTCGGGGACAATAGACGGAGGTGAGCAGTTGGTGGAATCGACCTCCGTAGCCACTACAACCATTATAGTCTAACTCCTCCTCCTCCTCCTTCTTCTTCTTCTTATTTTTATTTTCTAGATCTGGGTTTTTCAGATCTCACTCTCTATTGGTGATGGTAGTGGAGATTTTAGTGATAGTGGTAGCCGGCGGTAGAGACTAGAAATGAATAATTTTACATATATAAAAATGAAACTTTCAATATTACAATATTAAATTAATTATATAACATTTATTGAATGAATAATTTTTATTTCAAAATGAAATAAACTATTGCAAAAATTTATATTATTAAATAAAATAGGTGTATATTATTGATGATGGTAGAACAATTGTATCACTATAGGTCAAATACATCCCAACTAGGTTGGCACCTATTACACTACCAATCATTTTCATTATACTCCATCTCAATAATCAAATACAAAAAAAAAAAAGAAAAAGAAATGAAATGAAATAGTAAAAAATAAATTGTTGATCAAACATCGGAGGAGACAAACATTTCAGTCACGTTGCCCGATGATATGTCATCTAAATCATTTTGAATTCGTTTATTTTCACTATAATTTTGTCTTATTGTAAGCGCATGCATATGATCTCTGAATATTATCAGTGTCTCAACTATCTAGGGTGAAAGCCTGCTCCGGTAATCGCTCAACACCCGTCCACCTGCACTAAAAACTATTTTTGAAGCAACTGTTGTAATAGGAACATTTAGTATATCACGGGCCATCTGTGAAACCACATGCCACATAGTTTCATTTTGTTTCCACCATTCTAAAATATCAAAATCATCGGAATCATCCACTGATGGGCTTTCCAAATAACGTTGTAGTTCAGAACTACTTACGCTTGTATGTTGAGATATTCTTCTACTTTCTATTGCTGAAAAAACACTTAATCTCCCGCTTCGAGATGAAACTGTTAGTGTAGTGTGTGTAGGTGTATTTACAGATGTAGCGATCCCGGTTTCGACCATTTTTTCATGTTTTGCCACTTCGACTGGGTAGGTTGGGGATTGAGCTACCCGGTCAGCTTGAGGGGATCTAGGGGGCAACGCTCCTTGGCAGGTCCGAGGGAAGCGCCCTGGCGGGGTCGAGGGGCAGTGCCCCTGAAGCAAAAATGCAAAATGCATTCGAAATTGCTTGTCCGCTTGAGCGGCCGTTTATGCGCTAGAGCGGAGAATGTTTGGTTCCAAAAGTTTGACTTGTCTGCAAAAGTACTGGGAAGGTGTATTCGACGCTCGAGCGGGCTTTCCACCCTCGAGCGGACCATGTTATATCAGTTCGTGAATCTGATATTTCAGATCACTTCTGTATATCTCTCTCTCTCTAAAAACATTTCCTCTCCCTTCTCTCTATATTTCCCTATACCAAATTGGATCAAAACCTTGATTTCTCAAGATCCATTAGAATTCTGCCATATGTTCTTCATCAAAGATGGTTAACTTCTCGAGGGCTTCATTGTGTGCGGTGAAGATTGAGTTTCGACACCGTTGATTTTGGAGGTTTCATCTCATTTCTTCTTCAAAACTTGAGGTAGGGATTTTCTTAGAGTTATATATTGATATTAATTCAAAAAGTTGAGCGATTTTGAAAGTGGGTTTGCCTCTTGTTCTATTAAAATGATTTTATGGGTTTTGATCTTCGTTGATTGAAGAAAAGATGATTTTGAAAAGTTTTATTTCAAAAGATTTGAGTTGTATAGTTTTGATGAGAAAACATAGAATTTGGGGATTTTTTTTAAAGAGACTAAAAATCCATGAATGATATTGTTATATTTATTTTGTGTGTCAAAATAAATGGATGTTTGGAAAATTTCTTATTTTTATTTATATTGATGAATTTCAAGATAAATGATGATGATCTTCGTTGATTGAAGAAAAGATGATTTTGAAAAGTTTTATTTCAAAAGATTTGAGTTGTATAGTTTTGGTGAGAAAACCTAGAATTTGGGGATTTTTTTTAAAGAGACTAAAAATCCATGAATGATATTGTTATATTTATTTTGTGTGTCAAGATAAATGGATGTTTGGAAAATTTCTTATTTTTATTTATATTAATGATGAATTTCAAGATAAATGATGAATTTCATGGAATATGAGAATTGTTGTTCATTTTGGAAATTATTGTTCAAAACGTTGAAATAGTCTTGAAATGACTAATTGTTGAGGATACTTGAGAAGAGAGAATTGTGTTATTCCTTGAATGATGAATTGGAATAAAAGTATTTATATTCATCTTGTATTATTGGCATATCAATTCATTTGATTACATTAAACTTTGAAAGTTGATTTGAAAACTTACATTGAGAAAAGAATGTTGAGAAACAAGTTTCCATGAATTAGTTTTGGGATAAATATGGTGGTAAGTCTTGACAGGTGGTGTAGATGAAATTGAATAGGTGTCGAGCCTTGTACTTAATACTGGTAAAAATGATAGATTATAGGTGTCGAGCCTTCTAGTCAATGCTGGTAAAAATGACAAATTGGTAGTACTTGCATAGTCTACTTGCAGACACCAATCTAGGGATTACAAGAGTTGTATTTACCGCTCTTGAAATGAATTATTAAGTTTTGAAGAATTGAAATTGCATGACATCATTGAGGATGATGGTTTTCAAAGATGAAGATGTGATTTTCTTTTAAAAGGGCATAGCATGGCATGTGCATTTCATCTCTTGGGACTTGTATATAATGTATATACTTTGTTAAGGATTTCGTACTGGGCTTTATGCTCACCCTACGGGATTTTTGTGTAGGAAAAGATGTGGTGATGCCGCTTAACTAGAGGCGAGGAAATGTGTGTTGAGAATACAAGACTCTTATTTTGTTGTGACTCTATGTGTAAGCTAAGGGCTGTATGTGTGTGGGTTTGAATACTATGTGTAAGCTAAGGGCTGTATGTGTGTGGGTTTGAATAACCATTCTGTGTAACCAGGCTCAAGCCTTGGAAACTTGTAAACCCCTTGGGGGTATTTATTTGTTTATTTAGTTGTTGTTGGATTAATGTATTGTTGTATGAAGAACTATTGTATCATGTAATGTAAGTTTGGAGATTTATGTTTGGTTTTCCTTGAAAGTGCCATGATTGTTGTATTATCATTTGGGCTAGAAATTTGGGGCGTTACAACAGATGCAGCTACCCTGTATTCTTCAAATAATCTATTGCATGTTTGCATAA